CAGAAATTGCATTATAGTTTTGTGTCTGTCCCCCCCCACCCCCATTACTCAGCTCCATACCTACCTGCGGATCTTCCTAAAAGGAGTCTGAACACAGTAAAGTACAGATGCCATCTTACAGTTAATTCTGTGAATGGGCACCGTGGGGATAACTCAGATGTCGTGTATTACTTAAACCATACAAAGGAAGTAATGTGTTTTTCTTTTCAGGTCGGATGTTCATATTTTATGGCAACAAGACCTCAACGCAGTTTTTAAACTTTACCTCGACACTAATCTGTTCAGATGGTCTTCAGTCAAATATCCTTTTGTTACCCAACACTCTGATTATGAGAAAGATTATTAATTTTGCATATAGGAGTAAGAATGCATGCCTATGTGCCCCATGGCAGCTAGTGAAATCCAGAGATGGTGCTTACATTTACACTGAACATCGTATCTAAAAGGATTACAAAGTACAGCTTGTTGGAAGGCAGACAGTCCCCTTTTCCTGTTCTGCCCTCAGTATAGTCGGAATTCAGAGCTCAGATGATATTCCATGATATAAATAGCACGTTTTTCTTTTTTGAAACAGCTAGGCCAGAATTGTTCTAAACCATCAGATGGTGTTAGTGGTATTTCACAACACGTTTGAAGCCCATAGTTACTCTGAGTATTTGTAAAGTATTGCCCCAAATGCTCAAGTGGCGTGTAGGTTTGGAGTGTCAGTCACATGCAGCCCTGTAATAATTTGGCCAGCGTCAGCTTTCACAATCCTATAATTTCCCCTGATCGGTGTATTTCATTTAATTGCCTTCTTTTATGAAATAATTGGCGACGTTTTCTGATGTCCGCTTGGCAAAGCGTCTTTTTTCCTTACCTTGTCAACGCCTGAATCTGCAGACGAAGCCAGTCGACCCCACAGTGGAAGGGGGCGCCCAAGTCCAGCAAGTTGTAAATATTGAATGCATATCGGACTTCATGGAAGCCCCGGTCCTAAACATTCAGTTCAGGTACAGTCTTGCTTTTAAATTAAGGAATAGAAGCCGATGAAGAATCAAATGGCTGGGTTTCTTTCTTTTTAAGATAAAGGAAATCAGAGATTTTTATTTATGTATTTATTTATTTTATTTTACTTATAGCCCTCCCTCCCCGCAAGCGGGCTCATAAGAACATAAGAGACGCCAGTGTTGGATCAGGCCAAAGGCCCATCCAGTCCAACACTCTGTGTCACACAGAGCTCAGGGCAGCTTACATAATTGGTCTATAAATGACCATGAGGTGGGAGGCATATCCCATTCCAGCTCTGATGGCTTGCCCTCAGCAGTCTGGCTGGGTGTCCAGTGGGTCTCCTCAGGCCTCAGAATGGGGAAGGAAAGAGGGTCGTGCCTTCATTCTCCTTTCACCAGGATCACAGCTTTTTTGGCACCAGAATTTGCACCCTTTTTTCCTTTGGCTTTCCCCAGGAACCTGTCTTTCAACGCCCAAGTAGCCCTACCCATTCCCTGAGCCTATCCAGCCTCTTGCTGAGGGAGGGCAGTGATTCACTCCTGTCCCTCTTCCTGGGTTGCTGGATGGCTTCTCTCCTTCCTCAGCTGCCCTATTGGCTGCTCCAGGTGCTCGGTTGAGGTAGACTGACAGCCCTCAGTCTCTACTCCTGCTTTCCCCTGGCCCTCCCAAGCCCATGCCTCTGGCCAGGGGTCATTTCATAGAAAAAGACGTCCAGGAGCTCATTTGCATAACTCATTTGCATACGCCACACCCCCTGATGTCACCAGAAGTATGTCAGAAGGCAACACCCACCGCTCAGGTTCCACTGGACTGTTTTGGATTCCTAGCTATTGGGGGGGGGGGGAATGTGCAGATCTGTCCTCGCAGAGGAGGGAGAGCTTGTACCTGAATAAAAATTGGTCTTAACGGTGTCACTGAATTGTTTTGGGCTGGGGGGGGGCTCTGCAACTTACCTGGTTGCTTCTTGCTCTGACTGAGGGCTGCTGGGAGTCGGGGGTGGGGCTTGTTGCATGTGCCCGCCCCCTGGGCTCTTTACTGCCGGAGCTCCGCTCATGTGCGCTCCTGCAGGAAATGACCCCTGCCTCTGGCCCGTCCTGGCTGCTGCCCTGCCTTACACTTGTGCAGGCCTCTCTGGTTCTGCCTTATGTTCTGCCCTCGCCGTGGATGCTGTTGTCCTCTCCGGGCTGTTCCAGTGTCAGGTCCAAGCCCATTCTTTTGCCTGCACCTGGTGCCAGGTAAGAGCCAGCTCTACCACTCTCCCCTGCCTGTCAGGGTTCCCGGTCAAAACGCTCAACAACGTTCCTAGAGAAGTTTCAGTTTATTGAGAGCTAGTACTTGAGACACCACAGCCACGTGTCAGGAACGGCGGGGAAAGGAACAGCGTCTGTAATTGTACCCCCTTCGAACCAGTCGATCAATTTATGACTAACCAATTAATTTAGCTAATCAATTAAGAACATAAGAACATAAGAGATGCCAATGTTGGATCAGGCCAAAGGCCCATCCAGTCCAACACTCTGTGTCACACAGTGGCCAGAAATACCAGGTGCCATCAGGAGGTCCACCAGTGGGGCCAGGACACTAGGAGCCCTCCCACTGTCGTCGTTCCCTCCCACCAAGAAAAAAACTGGCCCCAGACCGAGAGTTCCTAAGAACATAAGAGAAGCCAATGTTGGATCAAGCCAGTGGCTCCTCCAGTCCAACACTCTGTGTCACACAGTGGCCAGAAATACCAGGGGCCATCAGGAGGTCCTCCAGTGGGGCCAGGACACTAGAAGCCCTCCCACTGATCGTTCCCTCCCAGCACCAAGAAGACAGAGCATCCCTTGCCCCAGACCAAGAATTCCTAAGAACCTAAGAGACGCCAATGCTGGATCTGGCCAAAGGCCCATCCAGTCCAACACCCTGTGTCACACAGTGGCCAGAAATACCAGGTGCCATCAGGAGGTCCACCAGTGGGGCCAGGACATTAGAAGCCCTCCCACTGTTGACCCTCCCCTCCAAGCACCAAGAAGACAGAGCATCACCTGCTCCAGAGTCCCTATCTATACCTTGTGGCTAATAGCCACTGATGGACCTCTGTTCTCTAACTAAAACAACTCAATTAATAGGGGAAATTGAATAATTTAATAATATTCCTACCCACCCTGTCTCTAACCCACCACCCTACTAACTAATGAGTACCCAATAAATTGATCAGTACAGTTATTCCAATCTATTTATTCTAAACTAATATATTCTAAACCCATAATTAATTGATAACCTCTAATCATTTAAATTTGGCTGGAAAAACAATTATAATAAGGGAAAGGGAATCCCAATTATAATCTTAACTCCAATACACAAGGGGATGTCTGTGAGATACGCTGTCCCTATAGAGCTGAGGCCCAACAGAGCTGAGATCCAGGGTTAGGTAGATCATCTGACTACTGTTTCCAGAAATTTCCCAACTATCCAGTACTCCAGACATCAAAAACAGAAGCTTTCCGCAAATAATTCTTGCTGGGCGGTTCCAAGAAACATAGCGTTTAAAGTTGCTATAGGCTTCCATTTCTCCCCCACCCAGGTATGGTGGAACACTGCAAAATGTCTCTGTGAAGCTGCCCATCACATTGAACAAATTCTTCCAGCCTACAGAAATGGCCGCTCAAGACTTTTTCCAGCGGTGGAAACAGCTGAGCAGGTAAGATGGTTTGAATCTTGCATGGCTTCTCTTTAGAGACTGCATTTTTTTCTCCAGAGAATACGCCCCATTGCATGAGACTTCAGCAGGCAAGATGTTGCAAAAGTGCATTTGCCACTTTTATTATTTTTTTTTTAGAATGAGTGTAGACAAAACTGTGTTTAGAAGAAGAAGGGTTGGTTTTTGTACCCCACCCGTCACTACCCGAAGGAGTCTCAGAGCAGCTTACAATCTCCTTCCCTTCCTCTCCCCCCAACTGGACACCCTGTGAGGTAGGTGGGGCTGAGAGAGTTCTGAGAGAACTGTGACCCAAAGTCACCCAGCTTGGCTTCATGTGGAGGAGAAGTGGGGAATCAAACCCAATTCTCCAGATTAGAGTCCGCCACTCTTAACCACTACACCACGCTGGCTCTCAGAAGGCAGCTATGCACGGTAATGGGTGGAACAGCAGTGCTGTTGATAAACTTCCCTGGTTCCTCAACAGTTCTTTCCATGTTTCTAAGAGAAAGGGGCGAACAGTTGTATGTGTAGTTGATTAAGTATGCCTGTAGCACTTTGAGAATTCTAATATGCGGGGCTTTTTTTGTAGAAGAAGCCCAGCAGGAACTCATTAGCATAATAGGCCATACCCAACAGCGGGAACTCATTAGCATATTAGGCCACACCCTGACAGCACAGCTCATTCGCATATTAGGCCACACCCCCGTGTTACCAGAAGCGTGGTCATCCAGCCACACCTACCTTTTGCTTCTTCTTCTCTTTATCTTGTTTGTTGTCAAAACCCAGGGCTAAAATTTTGCATGTTAGGCCACACACCCCTAATTGT